TTTATTAGTTTAATCCGATTTATTATTAGTCTAGCAGCCAATCAATCATTAACTATATTAAAACAAGTTTATGCTCCTGACTTAGAAGCAATGTTTTATTCTTGCCAATCGATCCATAAATTTGTCGATGATCTATCACAGAAGTTTGAAACAGCACAAGTCACTACAGATGTAGAAACAATCCATCGAACTGTCGTCAAATTAGAAGTAGATTTATTAAAAAATTGGCTTGCTGATACTCCAGACAAATACAATGAAATTCTCTACTTAATTGGACGAAAAGATAATCATCTCTGGCGATATTCAACGAAAATATTTTCATATATTTTACAAAAACTTGATCTTCTCGAATCTGTTCAAAAGTATCATGGTCAAATTCCTCATAGTGATGATTACATTCGTCTAGAAGAATATTTACAAAGTTTTCATAGAGAAAGTGACAAAATTGAGCGATTATTAGTCGATCGAATTCATATGGATTTAATGCTAAATATTAGTGAAGAACAATATGCTGATCGATCGATTGACCGATGAATACAATCATTTCGAAGAAAATGTCCATTCTATGATCGTTCTATTAGCAGATGAACAACAACGATCACGTCTTCGATCTATTGGTCTTCTATCTTCGTTAAAATACTATACTCATATATATGCATTTGCTTTAAGTAACGATTGGTATCTGGAGTCCATTTAGTGCGACATTGAAACTGTTCATTCTCAAACAGCTCATACATATGAGTAATAGTACATTGAATGAAATCTGTGAGAGATTTCTTCAACATCAAGTTCTCTGGATCAAACCATTATTAAATCGTATTCGACAAGGTAAGAATGAAATACGAGAAGAAATCATTATGCCAACACCATTATTTGATGGACGTGATGGATTTCTACGTTTTAATGCTATATTCAATGAATTGGATGATATCAATCAAATCCGTGCACTCATAAATGAATGTGCACAGAATCAATCGTTGATGTACAGCATTTATATGTGGTTTTTACAACGTTATTGTCAATTTCATTCTCCTAAAGTACAAGCAGATGAAAACTTATTAAAACTTGTACGAACCGATTGGAAACAGTCTCTTTTGACAATATGTGAACCGATTGGTTATGAACTAATTGTTTCACTTTGCACTAATTTCACTCCTACGTCATACTTTCACCTTCTGCCGACCATGTCAAAAAATGAATTGCATTGTCGTCTACTCGCCTTGAATATTACTATTCTTTGTCTATCAACTCGGTCATTACCGCAATCGACCTACTTGGGTTCATTATTATTCAATAATCAACGACAAATGCCAGTTTCCTATATCGATCATATTCAATCTATTTGCCTTCTAGGCTTTGTTTTCGGTGATCCAGTAGCAACACAAATGTTAGATGTCAGAGCAAGAATACAAGAACGTCTTGATACCGGACGGATAGTACGTCAAAATTCATTTATTTATCAATGTTCATAAGAATGTCAATGGATGTTCTATTTTGAAGATTGTGGTGTCCCAAATTCTCGCAGTCGGTGTCCACTGTGCAAAAAAGATATCGGTGCGGAACGATATAGAATATTGGTTGCTCGTCAACCACCTCAAATTCAAATGACAATCGATCAAGGTTTTCAAACTATTAATCAATATCTGGATATATTCAATCGATAAGTACGTTTAGGATATTACAATCTTACACCAGCAGATCAATCGATCTTGGGAGAAAAATCAGATCATCTCAATCGATCTGTTTCCTATCGTTTCCTTCATTTGCTTACTCATGCTCAATTATTAGTTTTATTCGAACCAGAATATTTATCTGTTCAAAATCTTCAGCAACAAATGGACATTCCTAATCAACGTCATTTTCAGGAACATTTAGAAAAATATTATGAATTATTATCACGAACATGTACAGATCCAGAACAATGTTATGTTTGGCTTTACAAATTGATCAATCATATTTTGTTACCAACCTTAATTCGATTAGGTTCAATGGATACACAAACAAAAGTAGTGGACATAGAACAAACGATTGAACAGACTATTATCTTCCCACATATTATGTTATTTACCGATGAAATCAATCAATATCGTGTGGCCTATGCAGAATTTATTCGTGAACGTGATGCTCAACCACATCTAACAGATTATATTGATGAACTACGTGAAAATGAACAACTTTATCCATTTCTCTCCTTTTTTAATTCGAGCAAAATTATTACTACAAATCCATTGGATGAATTTCGTGTCAAAATGGACACATTACCATTCTCCGTTAAACTCTATCCTGTGACTACATTTTTATTAAAACGATTAGATAATTATGCAAATATTCAACATCTTTATCCTATTGTTGAATTTACTAACTATTTATTATGTAAATATAATTATCGAATTAAACGAAATGATGCTGCCATGAAAACGGTTGAAGACTGTTTAAATGAAGCACGAACAGATCGAGAAACAATACGCATTCTTTTTAATCAATTTCTTCATGCTTGGTATAAACTTGACCTCAAAGAAGTTCAAGCAGGTTGTCAAAGACCTGCTGTTGACCGACCTATGACGGCTGCGAATTTTGCACGTGATACCAGTTTAGCATTACTCTTAATCAATACTTCGAAAGATGCTAGTAGTCTTCTTGTCGTCGCCTATTTACATACGTTGAGTAAGATGCAAAATGAAATTATTGGATATTTTAATAATACGATTTTGAACGAAAGGATTGATTTTCCACATATACGAATACAGGCAATCAAAGCAGAACATGTCTTTCGATTTGATGCTCATGAATTGAATGCGAAATTAGATCGAGATGGGTTTATGATCAATTTCGAATATGGGAAAGGACGAGATTTGATTTATGATTTTGAAGAAATTGAAATTACATTACGAAATCTGGTTAGTTGTTTTCATGTTCTCGATTATGAAGAATTACAAGTATTTAACTATCAATTTGAATTATATGCAGAAAATACTTCATTGATCATTCAAATTCGACGACGTGTTCAACAACAACCATTGCCAATGAATGAGCAAGAAAAATAGAGAAAACTACTGATAACGATGAATAATGACGAAATTATTCCTTGTAAAGGTTCATTAGATTATATCTTCACCTATTTGTGTAATGTAGAAGAAAATGAAGTTAATGGTACTCTTCAAACATTTGTAGAACAATATATCGGACGACAAGCTTGTCTGCATGAAAATGTGTTTCGATGATCACCCTTTTCCACCATACCACTCATTTATATTATTGCTTTCTATGAATCGATTGAAGAAATCGCCTTTGATAATGTATTGCGTACTTATGTCAAAGCCGAATTACGAGATGCAAAATGTCCTGATGAGACTACGTTTGATCAATTTGTTGCCCAAACTTATGGTAAAACTGGCGTACCAACCGTTCTACAATCACCAGCTGTATGGATAGGAACACTGAAACGATTGTTAATGCGTGTTTTAAGTGCTAATACGATTCATTTAGATACACCACTACAATATTATCTCGAACGAATTGATATGTGGAGTGGAAATATTACCGAAGAGCATCTGTAATCAGTGGAAATTAAAGAGACATTTTTGCTTCAACATACTTATATTATATTATGTGAATTGGATTCACGAGAAAAAGCATTGTATCAAACTGAACTACCTGTTACCACAGGAAAACCAATACCAAATATTGAAGACAAAAAATGAATGCTCGAAAATATATAACAACTGCTGGAGGAACATCAGTGAGAAAAACGGTGCCTAGTAAACCACCTGCAACAAAATCTGATAGAAAACTGCGTATTTTATAATGATATTTTTTTTCTTTTTAATATTTTATTAATAAATCAGAAGTACAATTCTCATGATTTCTATCACGTGCTCAAGACAAACGATTTCCAACATATCTTTTACACTATCTAGTCTTTCTTTCTGTTGTGTTGAAACCGTCATTTCAAAGGATTATTTGTCAGATGATACATTTCTAAAAAAAAATGTTTTGAACTCATTTCCTAGATGAAGTCAACGATTCACTGACACTTCCGCGCAATACATGTTCGTACGCCAATAAGGGTGTGGGTGTGGGTGTGCGAGAAGAAAAGACTCACAGCCACATCCACACCCAATCATGAAAATTTGTATTCATTTTTTCAGCAATATGCATGAAATTTTCACTAGAAAATACGATTTTTTCAAAAAGTTGAACTACAATCGATACCAATTATGCAAGACTTCATCACACTTAAAAACCAATGTAAGTGTCGGATGCTACGATATAAACTATTATGACACTCAGAAGTCTGAAATATGTATCTTTTCAAAATGGGATATCCTTACTGCATAGTCAACGGATCATTGCATATTTCTGTCGAAATAAGTAAGATGTATCTCATTTCATGTTGGAACTGCGCGTAGGCTGCCATGTTGAAGTTGTTCGACAGAACAATCTCGGTATACGTCTAATAGAAACCTCTTTTTAATTCCTTCAAGTTCGACTGTTTCCCGAATGAATATGTCACTTTAACCATCGTTTTTTATGTCCATTACTAGATCACACAAGTACTCAGACCAGCTGAATACCTGAATGGGAAATATAGTGTTCAGAGCGCGTTAGATTGTCGATCTAATAGTATGGAGTCGGAAACGAACTGGTACTCAGCTATGGTTTCTACGAAACCGTGATAACTACTTCTACAGTTCTCCGAGAAACTGACAATTTTGATTTATTAGTTTTTAAAACACTTTATCCTTGTGTGCTAATTAAATCCTAATAGCAGCATGAAAAACATCTATCGCAATACGAGCCCATGTTCAAACTTCTAACTTCCAAAACAGAATAAAAGCCTACTGAGCTTTTATTCTGAAGAGACGGGTGGGAGAAGGGGGTTAAGAGAACATCAGGACTTAAGGGTATCCCATATAATAGGACATGAGGACCCAAGGGAATATCCATATAATAGGAGATGAGGAACCGAGAGTACCTGCAAATAATAGCATACGAGGGCCTAAGAATACCTTCATATAATGGGAGATGAGAACCTAAGGGCCTCCACATAATAGCACATGAGAACCTAAGAGTACCTTCATATAATAGTATATGAGGGCCTAATAGTACCTCCGAATAATAGCACATGAGGACCCAAGGATGCCTCCATATAATAGCACATGAGGACCTAAGAGTACTTTCATATAATAGTACCAGTAGTGTCAAACTTGAAAGTTGAATTCAACTATTCAACTATTCAATTATTTAATAGTTGAAGTTTCAATTATTCAACTATTCAATTATTGAATACTTGAAGTTTCAACCATTCAACTATTGAAGTATTCAATTATTCAATACTTGAAGTTTCAACTATTCAAGTACTCAACTAGTCAACGACTGAAATGCGACCAGAATCCTCTAATATCGACAGGTATTGTCTGCGAGACTACAAGTATCCCCTATGATGCTGCGAGGATCCCATAGGATGCTAACAAGTATGACCTAAAATGCTATAAACATCCCCTATGTTGCTACAGGCATTCTCTTTGATGCTACATGCATCCCATAGGATGCTACCAGCATCCCTCAGTGTGCTACAAGCGTCCCCAGAATGCTACAGGCATTCCATAATATGCTACCGGCATCACCAAGGATGCTACAAGCATCCCATAGAATGCTACAAGTACCCCCTAGTATGCTACAAGCATTTCCTAGGACACTACAGGTTTTGGTTCGGATGCTGCAGACATTATCTGGGATGCTACAGGAAGGATGTGAGAAGCTTGAGCTAATGTGCAGCACTGAGCAGGAATAATGGTGTACACAGAGACGTGAATGGGTCGGGGGGCTTCGCACCCTCACGCCGCGACGCTGAAATAAAAGGTGCGTTAGGTGGGGAAGCGCGCTTCCCCACTGAATATTCCCAGAACACTTGAAAAGTTAAAATTTGAATAGTTAAATACTTGAATAGTTGAATACCTGAATACTTGAAACTTCAATTATTCAATAATTGAATAGTTGAAACTTCAATGATTCACTAATTGAATAGTTGAACTAATAGTTGAATACTTGAATTCAACTTTCAAGTATTACATGTATGGTTTTCTCCATGCCCACACCCACTACCCACACTCAACCACACCCACACAGCCACACCCACACCCACCACACCCACACTCTGAATCATGACTTTGAGTGAAGCTTTATCATAAAGACTTAGATTCATCATCTAGTTACAAATAGGCATGCACCAGATCCAAGCCATTTGGGTTTGGTGAGTTTGGGTATTGAGTTTAGGTTTGGGTTTGGATTTGAGTATATGGGTTTGAGTTTGGGTTTAAATTTGATTATGGCCCATGTATCTAAGCTTTTGATATACGTCTGTTGATCAAACTCAAACTCAAACTCATATGCAAGCCCAAACCCAAACCCAAACTCCCAAACAGTTTGGGTTTGAGTTTGGGTTTGGTGCATGCTTAGTTACTAGTCATTG